TGTTTTTTTTTTGGGGGGGGGGGTTACAGATGTATTTGCTGTTGCTATTTTAGATCTGATGCTCTGTGAATTTCTGGTTTTCATCTCTTTTTTTTCGTTTGTTTTTAGTGTATGTTTTTTGGGTGTGATTGCTTACTGGGATATGCAGTGATTATTGGGATATCTATTTTGGATTTTAGATCTGATGACTGTGTGGTTAATAGCACTTGTGATTAATTAAGATTCTTTTTGTTTCGAGTGTACATATCTTTTGGTATGTTGCCCCCGGGCTTTGGTTTGTTGGTAAGAGCGCACACATGCTCTGTCCGTTTGGAGCATGTCACACCCTGCTGCATAAAAAAGCCTGGTATGTATTTAAGTGGAGAGGAGTAGAGGAACGGGCCCATGACCCAACTAGTTTTGAATTGTGTGGCTATTGTCCTTTGAGGGTTTCTTGGTTATCAACATAAAAATCTTTGGTATGTTTGTTAGAATTTAAGACTTTGAGGTTCTGGAGTTTTGTGCTTCATCCAAGTGATTAGGAGCACAAATGGAGGGGAATTGGCTATAAAGATTCATATTGTTGATTGATTGCTTTAATATGTGTCGTGATTGGACGGTTCTGTTTTGTGCAATTATGGTAGATTTGATTCTTACCTTGAAAATAGAGTAGCATAGTGCTTGGCATCTTATAATTACTGAGAGAGCAAGAGTGGGAAAGGGCCACCGTTGGGTTTGTGTATAGGGTCTTTTGATGGGTGGGTGAGTGCGGTTTTGCCGCAGCGGAAGGGAAAGAGGATTTGGTATTTAGCTTCTGAAAAACCTTGTAAGTTTATTTTACTACTTTTTGGTGTTTATATTTCTAATGTTCAATTTATTTTTTCATAGATGTTATGGATTCTATGCAACTTCATTTGTTGTATATCTAACCGTTAAAATTTTAGTAAAATTTAGTCTGCCTAATTTTTTCTTGTTAAACTGTCATAGTTATGGTGGCCCATTTAGATAATCTGCATCAAGTAACATACTGATTCTGCTTCAGGACATATCATAGATGCATTTGCGGTTTAACTCATTGTTGCATTAATTCTACTATAAGCATAGTTCTAATTTCGATGCCTTTGATAACAGGTTGTGGAAGTCTCTACATCCAAAACTGGAAAGCACGGTCATGCAAAATGTCATTTTGTCGCTATTGACATCTTCACTGGAAAGAAGCTTGAGGATATTGTTCCCTCTTCACACAATTGTGATGTATGTGCCTCCCCTTTTCTTGTTCACCACGTGTTTATTGCCCATCTTAGCCCCAATTTTCCGGTTATAGTTGTGCTAATATTTAGTAATTATGTGTTCAAATTGCAGGTGCCCCATGTTAATCGTACAGATTATCAGCTTATTGACATCTCTGAAGATGGATTTGTATGTGCCTACATTCCCTTGTCCGACTCCTTTTTATATTTTTGATTGATGTGGTCTGATGTTGCTACACAATGTTACAGGTGAGTCTGCTCACTGAGAATGGTAACACCAAGGATGACCTTAGGCTTCCTACTGATGACAACCTCCTTACACAGGTTAGCAAGAATTTGTCTAATCCAAAGTTGTACTTTTCGATCAAAGTGTGCAGCAGCTTATTTCAGTTGCTGTATGTAGCCTCTAATTCTTTCACAAGCTCATTGAATGTCTGTCGTAATAGTTTATTAGCTTGCCATTTCGTGAGAGAGGCACCTTTATGTCTTTGAGCTAAATAAGTGATGGTGCAGATATTGGCCAGAATTCTTCAGAGTTTGGCTGGTTGTCATTTGTTGTTTTTGTTAACTGTAGCTTAGAGTTAGCACTATGCAGTTGCTGATTAAATTTTAATGTGTTGAATTCAGATCAAGGATGGTTTTGCTGAGGGAAAAGACCTTGTTGTGTCTGTCATGTCAGCCATGGGTGNGTGAGGAGCAGATTTGTGCCCTGAAGGATATTGGTCCCAAGTAAATCTCTCGATTGGAGATTGTTCGATGCGAAGTTCTTTACTACCTTAAGTTGGATAGATATTATAGTCATGGAAAAAGGTATGGTCTTATGGACCAACTTGTTCAAGAATATTCTTCAGGATTCTCGGACCATTGCGAGTTAGATTTTCGTATTTTTGTTATTTTAACTTGTGTTCGTCTGAATTTTGTTCTACCTTAAAGCTTTTTTCAAAATTTGGTGTGGGAAAATGTTACCTGCAGCTGCATACATTCTTCACCAATTCGACTTCACCAAAATCTTCTCCTGCATTTTGAGCAAATCATTTAACATATTAAGGTAGATATCTTAACTTTTTGAGGTTATACTCCAATAAAGGCTGTCATATGGCTAATTGGGTTCCCATCCCTGGCAAATTGTGTAGGCTTTATAGGCCTATTTTGTTATCTAAGAAATGGATGCGCTTCATGTAGAATGACCCGTAGACGTAAATTTAGATCTATGATAAAGTAGATAACAAAAAAATACTGGTACGATTAGATGTTGCCATGATTTACCTTGTGTGAGTCAACCTGTCTTGTCAACTGTTTGCCAAAGTCTAAAATTGGCAAGTTTTTCATATATTCATACTTTTGCTTGGCATATAAACTAAAAATAAATTTTCATTTTTACTTGTCACTTTATGCATATCAAGAGAAAGAGAAGACAAACTCTTTTTTGTTTGTTATACCCACAATATTTATTACTCGTTTCAAATCATTTTTTCAAATCCAATAGAATATGTATCAATTAATATGGGTATCATGGTAAATTATGCACTTCATTTATTATTTCTTAAGGGGCGTGAAAAGTCAGAACGTCCCTATTCAATTAAGGTGTATAGAAGAACATTCGTATTTCAACATCCCATGTGAATCGAGATCATAAAGATGAAATGTACAGTAACAGTTTCTGTCTTTGTCAGGCCAATTTTGGTCGTCCTAATGTTCATTTTTAATGCTAGCACTAGTATAGAAGGCTAGAACCTAGAAGTGCAATGAGATTGTCTTTGAGACAAAAATCATTAAAGTTTTGGTTGCGGGTGTAGATGATGAACCCACTGTAATCGGGTTAAATATATTTACTTAGTTGAACATTAAAAAGATATTTTCCATAATATTTAGTCAAAGTTGAGTGGCTTTTTTGTTACAAATATATTTTAGTGACTTACATGCAATAAAGTGAAAGCTGAGTGATAAATTTGTGAAAATTTCGACACTAAATCGACACATATTACCAATCATTTTGTTATCCATACGACAAGTAAATATAACTGAGAATGTTGATCAAGTTATGCATATCTGCTGAAATTTCTAAACTTTTAAGTCAATCAACAATATGTGGCTTCACTCACATATTTTGTATTTGTTCTCAGCACAATCTGCTCCTATATGGTAAATTATGTTTCGACTTTTGTAGCAGATCGTTACGGTATAAGCGTATATCGATGTTTTTCACTAAAACAGGTAAAGAGAAAGAGAAATTTTCATGAAGCACTATCTTTTAGTAATAATTAGTCATCTATAGATATCGTTTGCTATATTACGGATTATAGATACCTTTTTTTGTGGTTATAAGATGTATTTGATGTATTTAAGCTATTGTATTCATGAATTCAATAGCAAAAATAGGCGTGAATCAGAGAATTCCAGCTAATCAGTTGTTGTATTCGAGTGTATTCATGGAGTGAAACATGGGATTACAGCTGGACAAATTATTGTATTCGACTGTATTCACAGCGTGAAATAGGGGATTACACTGTTTTTAAAACGGAAAGTGAATCAATTAACATAATAGACTCCTAATATAACTCAACAAACTCAATTATAACACACAAATTTTGTATTTTTCAGTTATAAAAAAAATTCTCAATCGCAAAATACCCAAAAACATAGCAATCTTCAGAGAAATTATATAATACATCTGAATACATAAAATATATTAATTAAAAAAAACATATGAATACATTCATGGCATATAGCGAGACAATGGATACAATGAAATAGATAGAATACAGAGGGATACATTGAAATACAATGAGAAAAAAGGACATTGAATACAATGAAATACATGGAATATAACGAGATACATTGAATTACAATGAAAAAAAAGATAGTGAATACAATAAAATACATAGAAATACAACGAGATACACTGAAATGCTCTTAAAAAAAAGGTAACAGAATCTTCAAATTGCTCGACCCCAAACTTCAGACGACCTGTTTTAGTCGACAATTTTCCGATGACCCATCGGATTCCGACCATGATTCCATAAGCAGCGATGAGAGAAAGAAGAAGAAAACGAGAAATCACAGAAAGGCTGTGATTGTTTTTGATTGTTTTTGTAAAATTCTGATTTTGATAAACTCCAAGGTTGTGATTTCTCCTTAATTAAATAGCACGCGATTACGCCAAAATTTAGGTTTTGTCTTCTTCGTCTTCAATTGCTTTGTTTGTGCATATTTGCAAGCACAAACAAAGCAATAATGTTGTTCGTCTTCTTCGTTTTCAAACTTATTAAGGTTTTGATGGATTTTTGTTGCGTACTAAAATATTGTTCCATTAATCAATATCAATATTGCCTTTATTGGAGTTATTTTGGTTAAGAGGAAGAAGTCCACGAAATTTTGGGAGAATGAGATGTATCAAAGTAGAGATAGAAAGAAAAAAGTGTAACTGATTAGTGTATTTAGTGGCTTAGGGCTAGGAGGAAATCAAAATTAAATATTTTACTATAAACCTTAAAAGGTATCTATAGAATATAATTTTTTAAATAATATTTATTTAAAATAAATAAGGTGTTAACCTTTGCTATAGGAGGTAAAAAGGAAAGCAAAGTTCAATATGTACGGACGGTTTTGAGAGTGTTCCAAAAGTAAGCTAAAGCTATAGCAAATCACGTTTTCTACAAGAGTATAAAGTTGCTTATAACACCTTACCGGACTTTTCGACCTGAATCCGAATTAGTCGAATTTCAAAACAAATACCAAACACTTTCAATTTGTTCTCCGCTGAAGTAGACACATTTGTAAGCTTTAAAATGCATTGTTCCAATTAAAATTTTCAAAGTAGAATTATTTTAAAAGTAAAAAGAAAAAACAATGATAAATGGAAGTGTTTAGTGGAGCCCAAATAAGGGGGTTGTCCATTAGCACTAACAAAAAACGTGGGATATAAAAGCATTATCCCATTTGAAAAGTGATCTAACAAATGTAGGATAATTGTGCTTTAATTTTATTCTACGAAATGATTGCTCAACTACCAACCAGATATCCATATATCATGCCTACCTCTGTTTTTTCTACTCAATTTGAAGCCAACTTGACAAATTCCAACTTTGCAGATCTCTCTCTTATTTTATTTGAATTTTGAGGAATTTTGGTCCTTCCTTGGGAGGGAGCCTTGACGTAACTGGTAAAATTGTTGTTATGTGATCAGAAGGTCACGGGTTCAAGCTGTAAAAATAGTTTCTTACAAAAATGCAGGGTAAAACTGCGTACAATAGATCCTTGTGGTCCGGCCCTTCTCCGGACCCCGCATGTACGCAACCCTTTTTTTGTCCTACTGTCATGTCACCTAAGACAACTAAAAATAACGTGAAAAATAAAGTGAGTACCTTATTAATGTAAAAAGACAACTAATAAATAACGTGAAAAATAAAGTATCTATTAATTTAATTTTTTATAGGAAAATTTACATTGTATAATCGACAAATGTATAATTTTGGTATATTAAACATATTTTATCAATAATCAGTTTATATTTTTGTATGTTTAGCTAGCAGTTACAATTATTTTCAACCGAACAGCCAAATATGTTAAAAGTCTTTTTTATATATGATTAGTGTATCTTAAGTTAAAATTCTTTTTTTATTAGTTTATCTTCATATTTTTAATATGGCTAGAAATGAAGGATTTACGTTATTAAAACTGAGAATATAATAACCTTTTTACACAATCGTTATCATTTCACTTAGCATAATAGCTTGCTTATTTTTTTATTTAGGTTACTAATTAATGCTATTAAATAGAGTTACATACAATTATTTTTTAATTCACTTGATTGTATAAATACTTTTTACCTTCACCGCATGATAAAACTTAAACTCGGGAATTAATGGTAGCAAGTTGGGGTAGGCATAGGTTGGGTAAACCCGAAATCCAAACCGAAATTAGAATTTTTTAGATTTTTTATTTGGATTTTCGGATTACGGATTAGATTTTGGATTTAATTTTTAAATTTTTTTGGATGTCGGATTTGGTACTTTGGATTTTTGGATATCCGAAAATCCAATAATTTTATACTTTATATTTAGTCCATTATCTATGTGCCAATAATAATAAGTTCAATACCCTATCAATTAGATATTATTTACTAAGTTACTGTGATACTTTCTATTTGGACATAGTTATACTATTACTACTTCTTATCGGCCGCATTAATGTCTCTGTTGGATTTTCTTGATAGTAATTTCATTACTTGAATACTTTATTTCATTAATGAGTAACTTTTCAGGTAATTTAGTATGAGTACTTCATTTGGATATTTATTTTTGTAAAAAGAAGAAACATTTCAACTTATAAGCTCAGAACCGAAAATTCAAAATATTCAATCCGATTAATCCAAAACCGAACTTAAAAAATCTTATCCAATCCGAGCTTATTTAGATTGGATTGTCATTTCTCCAATTCGAAAGTTGAAAATCGAAACCGAAATTTTATATTTAATCCGAACTGTTCGAATGCACACCCCAATAGCAAGAGAGGTAAAGTGTCACGCTTATTGTTCTCCTTTCATATTTTTATCATTTTTAATTTCAATGTGCGCTAAATTTAGTTCTGCAAATCATAATGGGTACACTTATATTCAATTTCTTAATTTTTATAAGAAAGGGAAAGTACAAGAAGTGAAAACTTTTAAGTGGGACTCCAACTTAACTTGATGGAAGGCACAACTAAATCAAAACCTTTATATTTAATTTGTTCATAATCCCCTTAAATTGAATCTTGCGTCCATTTTTTCCTTTTCAGTTTGTTTGTACCAGCAGAGGCGAAGCTAGAGAAGTAAATACATATTCCAACGAACTCAATTGATTTTGCTTAGACTATGTATTTGTATTAGAAAATTCATTAAATATTTATAAATTTAACACGAACCTAATAACTAAAATAAATTATGAGTATAATAATAAATTCAAAACCCATAAATTTTAAATTCGGGCTACCTCTAATTACAAGGAGTCTT